ACACGTGTTAGCGCATGAAATGAGCTTTCCAAAAAGGTATAGCATGACCCGATGCGAAAACTAGAATTACGCGCTCTCAGCGCCAACTAGCGAAAATACCGCAAGACTTGTTTGACAACCTACAATTTTTTTTTTTTTTTGCAAATAGTTATCAACGGAAAAAAACAATCCTTCGTCCAAGTCTTTAACACTTTAAGGACGGCGCGACCCAACGGTGGGTCACACACTAAGGTGAAACTGCTTACTAAATGCAGCGCCGTCCTCAACGTGTTAGGAAATGTATCTCAAAGATCTATATAAAATTTTGTGAAGATCGGTTAATTAGTTCTCGAAAAATCATCCCAACCGACTGCAAAGACACAGTTTCGAGAAAAACGCGTTTGAAGACGGCGCATTTAGCCCAGCTATGTAGCCTCGAAAGTAGAAGTTCTCAAGGCTGAATCCTTGAAATTTTTCTCGGATCAACTTGTTGTAAAATCTAATAAGATAATAAAAAAAATCGATGTTTTGACACCCGTAAACCCATGCAACCCCTTAACACGAAATAGGGTTAATTCAAACCGCTTATTAAGTCTAAAAATATTACTTGGGCTAGTTACAGGCCTCCACACACAAATAGGCTTGGCAAATAAACACACATAAATTCAAGTATAAATAAATAATAACACAAACAATGAAAAGCCATGTGCTGACGTGTAAACAAAGATCTCCATTAAAAGCTCTGAAAGCTCGCTTAGCCCCACAAGTAAATGCAAAATGCACGCAGCATTGCGGCGAACAGAAACAGACAAATAATGGTAATGCACACATCCGCAATAAATTCATTACAACCACGCATTGCCTGTTTTTCGCCAAGCCAACGCTATTATGTAACTCTCATAGTTTCTTTCGCTTGCATTAAAAATTATTTATTCTTAAACCTTAATGGTCACATTGCAATTCACCAACTACAAGTCCTACACACACACAGCCGCACTCAAATGCAAATCTTCATTTGCTCACCGCAACCGAGGAAAAGAAGCGCAGTTGTTGTTGTTGCTAATAAACACGTCGCATATGAAAAGTAGCCATGAATTTGTTATTTATTGTTGTAGTTGTTTGTATTTTTCTTTTTATTCCGTTATGTGCATAACAAATGGCGTTACGCTATGCTCCGCAACATTGATTTATTCGCCATTTGCATGCCAGACGGCGAGCAGCCGAGCAAACGATAAACGAAGGCGAAGAGACGAAGTGTAGCAAGTGTGGAAAGCAGCAAGTTGCAGCACTGAAAAGTACATAACGGCTGAGTAATTTAATAGTCTACTGCATTGGCTACAGCTGCTTGGCGTTGCCATACTCTTTTGTTGTTGCTTTGCTTTCTTTTTGTTGTAGTTGTTTTTGTTTTTCTTTGTAGCTGGTGCTGAAAGCAAAGAGTTGTGTTGATAGCTGCACGTCTGCAGAAATCCGCCTCAGCTTCGTAACGGTGAAAATGCGCGTGCTGCAAGTAGTTCACTGTCAACCGAGGCGAAAGGTAAAAGTGGTTATAAATGACTCGGCATGTGGCACTAAATCGATGTGATCATGAAATCAAATTAAACCAAAAACAAGCAGGAGCAGAAGGGTGACGGTCGAGAACTATTCAGCCAATGGCAATGGCTTGATATTTTTCTTGACAAGACAAAATATTTTTTTCCTTGAAAAAATCTTTCGAGTGAATAAATTCTCAAAATTTAATACAGATATACCATGGAAAGTCAGAGCATTCTTCAACGCTTTCATTTAATGAAAATATATGTTTAAGGTTGCTTTGCAGTCTATTGCTCGACCAGACTACGACCTGACTAAAAAATAGTGTGACCACGTTACCCGAAGAAAACTCTAAACTTTTTGTGAGAGCAAAAGGCACACAATTAATTTCCTTATCTAACAAAGTCAAAGAGATGGTAGCATGTAATATTATTAGAGGTTGCTGTCAAACTAAAGTAAGAACCGCCGTTGTCATCAAAATCGAATCTGAGTAACAGGAAAAGAAGCCGAATTATATACATTTAAATATTTAGGCAGTATTACCTCCGCAGCTGCTCTAAAACTGTTTAAAGAACGCGTTTTAGTTTAACTTATTTATAGCTGAATGGGCGCAATGACAGCTCAAGTCCTGCCGCTTGAGGTCAGCCCGCCTGAGCCTCCGTTTAAACTCATCGCATGAAAATTTTTGGATTTCAATAGATATATGTATATATGTTTCAGAGTAATAGATTTTACTCATTTAAAGTGAAAATTTGTGCTATAGCTTCTTATCAGTTCTTAATTACTATGGGTGAAAGCTAGCCATATTCCTTTAAGGGGTCAGTAGGGTAATCTGGACTGGTTTTTTGAAATTTTTTTTTTTCATAGAAATTTTTATTCTACAGTAGAACTTTTTTCACATATCATGAGGTATATCGTGGAGTGTATAATCAAATTTTTTTTGGAATTTTTTGATGATATCTGTCGGAGAAATGACCGGCGTTTAAATTTTCAGGTGTGTACTACGAGCGCTCCGAAGGTCGTGCGCTATTATTAATTTTGGGCCTTCTTTGAAATCTTCCAATGATAAAGTGGATTTCTACATTAATTCTAAAAATAAATAAAATTT